CATCTTGTAACTGATTGCATTGCCACCGGATCAGCTAGTTAATTAAATGTGTGGACATATTAAAAAGTGACTTACACCAATAAAAACACTGGGGTGTTTAATCCACTTGTGACTCATGTGAATTCACTGTTAATGCAGAACTTGCATCACTAAATACCCTGTGTGAGATTCTTTGTGTTGCGCCACACGACTAACCGTTGCTCTCTGCAGGTGACTAAATGGTTCAAGTACAATTTGTATCGTAAGAACTCTTGCGAAACAGTCATGATCTAGTCTACGAGTGTCCGGTAATAAAACACACCTTGCATCGTATCATCCAGGTGTTTTTAGAAATAATGTTTGGCCAAATTTAGTTAAGGCTACATTAACAACGTGGAGGAGAAATTTATCATAAGATAGCAAAGCACCACTGACTTTCCATTACTGGAAGACATCTCAAAGTGCCTCATAGATACACTGTAAACCACAGTGATTATTTTAGAGGTGAAAATAAAGTTTTCCTTTTGCATGTTCCAGCTTTACAAATGCCACTGTAAAATTTATAGTTTTAGCTTAAGTCAAAAAGTTCAACTCCTTTTACTTTCTACAAAGTTAGGAGGTACACAAGACCTTTTGTTCAGGTGAATATCATCAGTCACGAGAGCACTCAGTCGACTAATTACCAGACACCTTCATCTTACGTCACTGGATGAGAATCGATAACTGAAGTTTATATATATCTTATCAGTAGGAAAAAAAAAGAAAGCACAGCCCAGCTTGTATAAGTAATATAAGATTATCTATAAACTTTAGTGATTGTTTCTTATCCAGTAACGTAAGTTGGAGAGAGCCAATCGCTTCCCTTGGTTCATTGATCTTAAGCAAATAATTTATGCTCTCATAAATTCCTCAGGCCACACCTCTTGCGGCACCCATTTCCCTGAGTAAATCTCCGTACTGTAAAATTCTTAAACTCCCCTCCCCACCCATTCAAGACTACTTAATAATAATAAATAATAATCCTTGCATTTGATATAGCACTTGTCACGTCTCAAAGCGCTTCACAGAATAGACTGTAAAGTGAATTGACTGTATATTTGAGGGCGAAATGCGGCGGCCAATTGTGCACAGCAGCGTCCCCACAAACAGTCGCGGATTGAAAGGACCAATTTATTATTGTTTTATTTTCTTGAGGGATTATTATCAGGCCCAAGGTGCCCAAGGTGGGAATCGAACCCAGGTCTCTCGCTTGCAAAGCGAGCTCTCTAACCACTGAGCTACAGCACTCCACTTGTGGGTTACAATCAAGCAGTTGTCTCCTCCACCTGCTGAGCCGGAGCTGGAGCCAGGTACGCAGCACCTCGCCTCGTCTCAGAACTACTCCCTGTTTGACTCATAGAATCAGCCCTGTAGTGTCATTAGTTTCAACCACAAAAGTCATCCTACTTTCCAATACCAAAACTTGTACTTACGATAGTAACTTTCACACAACTTAGCATCTCAAGGCACGGAAACACGGCAGCGTACAAATACAAAGGACTTCGAGACATTCTGCCAAAGTGAACGGCTCGACAACAAATGCCGTGATAGTAATGTGGACCATCATTTACATGCGTCAGATACCCATTCAGCCCCAGTTCTGAGCCTTTCACCCAAACCCTTCAATATTTCCCTTTTGACAAAGTTTTTAAAAATTTGGTCACCAACTCCACAACTGTTTATGGGACACTGCTGTGCACAGCTGCCTGGGGTTCCCCCTACAAAATACAGTCAATCCACTTCACAATATACTCTGTGAAGAACTCTGAGGCATCTCAATGATGCGATAAGCCGCCATATCAAATACAAGTATTATTATTATTATCATAATTTACAGGTGTCAGATAGCTACTCAGCCCAAATTCTTGTCTTCCACCCACACCCTTCATTACTTCCCTTTGACAAATATTTATGTAGAACTCGTTTTTGTTTAACAAAGGGCATTAATGACATCCAGACTTTGGTGGAGTGTTCCAACTGCTAACAACCCTGTATGTGTGTTTGGGGGTTACTCAGCGTATGTATTTGTGTGTCAGAGACCCTCAGTGAGTGAGGGGGTGTCAGAGACCCTCAGAGAGTGAGGGGGTGTCAGAGACCCTCAGAGAGTGAGGGGGTGTCAGAGACCCTCAGAGAGTGAGGGGGTGTCAGAGACCCTCAGAGAGTGAGGGGATGTCAGAGACCCTCAGAGAGAGAGGGGGTGTCAGAGACCCTCAGTGAGTGAGGGGGTGTCAGAGACACTCAGTGAGTGAGGGGGTGTCAGAGACCCTCAGTGAGTGTGTCAGGGATCCTCAGTGAGTGTGTCAGGGATCCTCAGTGAGTGTGTCAGAGATCCTCAGTGAGTGTGTCAGGGATCCTCAGTGAGTGTGTTAGATCCTCATTGAGTTTGAGTGTGTTAGAGACTCTCTGTGAATGTGAGTGTTGGAGATCCCGTGGTGTCCTGTAGCTCAGCGGTTAGAACACTCGCTTTGCAAGCGAGAGAACTGGGTTCAATTCCCGGCAGAGGGCGAAACCTTGGACAAGTTTCCTTACTCCACACAGAGCCTAATAATAATCCCTCCAAAACCAAACAATAATAAATTGGTCATTTCAATCCACGACTGTCTGTGGGACGCTACTGTGCGCAATTGGCTGCCGCATTTCGCCCACAAATACACAGTCAATTCACTTTACATTCTGTGAAGCGTTTTGAGAAGATGTGCTATATCAAGGATTATTAATATTAGCCATGGAGCGCGCCGGAGAGCCGCAGGGGGCGCGCCGGAGAGCCGGAGGGGGCGCGCCGGAGAGCCGGAGGGGGCGCGCCGGAGAGCCGCAGGGGGCGCGCCGGAGAGCCGCGGGGGGCGCGCCGGAGAGCCGCAGGGGGCGCGCCGGAGAGCAGGGGGCGCGCCGGAGAGCCGCAGGGGGTGCGCCGGAGAGCCGCGGGGGGCGCGCCGGAGAGCCGCGGGGGGCGCGCCGGAGAGCCGCGGGGGGCGCGCCGGAGAGCCGCGGGGGGCGCGCCGGAGAGCCGCGGGGGGCGCGAGTGTGACTAGAGACCCTCAGTGAGTGTGTGACAGAGACCCTCAGTGAGTGTGTGAGAGACCCTCAGTGAGTGTGTGACAGAGACCCTCAGTGAGTGTGTGACAGAGACCCTCAGTGAGTGTGTGACAGAGACCCTCAGTGAGTGTGTGAGACAGAGCCCCTCAGTGAGTGAGTGTGACAGAGACCCTCAGTGAGTGTGTGACAGAGACCCTCAGTGAGTGTGTGACAGAGACCCTCAGTGAGTGTTTGACAGAGACCCTCAGTGAGTGTGTGAGAGACCCTCAGTGAGTGTGTGAGAGACCCTCAGTGAGTGTGTGACAGAGACCCTCAGTGAGTGTGTGACAGAGACCCTCAGTGAGTGTGACAGAGACCCTCAGTGAGTGTGTGACAGAGAGCCTCAGTGAGTGTGAGTGACAGAGCCCCTCAGTGAGTGTGTGACAGAGCCCCTCAGTGAGTGTGTGACAGAGCCCCTCAGTGAGTGTGTGACAGAGCCCCTCAGTGAGTGTGAGTGTGTGTGACAGAGCCCCTCAGTGAGTGTGAGTGAATGTGACAGAGCCCCTCAGTGAGTGTGAGTGTGTGTGTGACAGAGCCCCTCAGTGAGTGTGAGTGTGTGTGACAGAGCCCCTCAGTGAGTGTGAGTGTGTGTGACAGAGCCCCTCAGTGAGTGTGATAGAGCCCCTCAGTGAGTGTGAGTGTGTGTGACAGAGCCCCTCAGTGAGTGTGAGTGAATGTGACAGAGCCCCTCAGTGAGTGTGAGCTGTGTGTGACAGAGCCCCTCAGTGAGTGTGATAGAGCCCCTCAGTGTGAGTGTGACAGAGCCCCTCAGTGAGTGTGACAGAGCCCCTCAGTGTGAGTGTGAGAGAGCCCCTCAGTGTGAGTGTGTGTGTGACAGAGCCCCTCAGTGTGAGTGTGACAGAGCCCCTCAGTGAGTGACAGAGCCCCTCAGTGTGAGTGTGTGTGAAAGAGCCCCTCAGTGTGAGTGTGTGTGTGACAGAGCCCCTCAGTGTGAGTGTGTGTGACAGAGCCCCTCAGTGTGAGTGTGTGTGTGACAGAGCCCCTCAGTGAGTGTGAGAGAACCCCTCAGTGTGAGTGTGTGTGTGACAGAGCCCCTCAGTGTGAGTGTGACAGAGCCCCTCAGTGAGTGTGAGAGAACCCCTCAGTGTGAGTGTGTGTGTGACAGAGCCCCTCAGTGTGAGTGTGACAGAGCCCCTCAGTGAGTGTGAGAGAACCCCTCAGTGTGAGTGTGTGTGTGACAGAGCCCCTCAGTGTGAGTGTGTGTGACAGAGCCCCTCAGTGAGTGTGAGTGTGTGACAGAGCCCCTCAGTGTGAGTGAGTGTGTGACAGAGCCCCTCAGTGAGTGTGAGTGTGTGTGACAGAGCCCCTCAGTGTGAGTGTGACACAGCCCCTCAGTGTGAGTGTGTGTGTGACAGAGCCCCTCAGTGAGTGTGAGTGTGACAGAGCCCCTCAGTGTGAGTGAGTGTGACAGAGCCCCTCAGTGAGTGTGAGTGTGTGTGACAGAGCCCCTCAGTGAGTGTGAGTGTGTGTGACAGAGCCCCTCAGTGAGTGTGAGTGACAGAGCCCCTCAGTGAGTGTGAGTGTGTGTGACAGAGCCCCTCAGTGAGTGTGACAGAGCCCCTCAGTGTCAGTGTGTGTGTGACAGAGCCCCTCAGTGTGAGTGTGAGTGACAGAGCCCCTCAGTGAGTGTGAGTGTGTGTGACAGAGCCCCTCAGTGTGTGTGAGTGAGTGTGACAGAGCCCCTCAGTGAGTGTGAGTGTGTGTGACAGAGCCCCTCGGTGAGTGTGAGTGTGACAGAGCCCCTCAGTGTGAGTGTGTGACAGAGCCCCTCAGTGAGTGTGTGACAGAGTCCCTCAGTGAGTGTGAGTGTGAGTGACAGAGCCCCTCAGTGTGAGTGAGTGTGAGTGAGTGAGTGTGAGTGAGGTACCCGGGGGGGGGGGGGGGGGTACCTTGCCGTTCTGTGCCGAGCCCGAGCCGAGTCTGACGAAGCCGTTCCTCCTGGACGCCGCCGCCGCCGCCGCTTTGCCGTCGGGAAGCGCCTTCTCCATGAAGCCGTTGACGGTGCTGTAGATGTCCGCGCTCGGGGCCAGTTTGCCCTCCATGGCCGCGTCTCGGGGGCAACACCGACTCGCAACCGCAACCGCCGCCGCCGCCGCCTCAGTCGCTCCTACACGGTCCGCTTTCTCTCCCCCCCCCCCTCAGCGAGGACAGTCGCTCCTACTCGGTCCGCTCGCTGCCCCCCTCCCCCTCCTCACTCGGGCCGTCGCCTCGCGTTCTGTCGCCGTTAACGTGACTCGTCCGGTGTCCGGTGCCGCGCTGTGTGTGAGGGTGTGTGTGTGTGTGTGTGAGAGAGGAGAGGCGGCGGTGTGAAGCCTCGCGCGCGCTCTCCCGGACAGCGCGCGCCTCGCTCCACTGGCTGACTCGCGCCGGACGTACGTCACCGCTCTCGCCCCTCCCCCCTTTCCCCCCCCCACCGCCGTCGCCTCGCCCCGCCCCTCTCCCGGCCCCGCCGCCAATGGGCAGCGCGTTCCCTGCCGTCACGTGACAATCGCTCGGCTCTTCCCCCCTTCTCTCTCCTCCCGCCCCCCTCCCCCTCCCCCCACCGTGTCCATCACCTGACCCTGACCCCGCCCCCCTCGCCCTGAACTCCAGTAACCTCGGCTGCCGCTCATTCATTCCCGTCCCTCGACCCAATCCGTTCCCTGCCCTGCCCTCCCCTGCCCTGCCCTCCCTTGCCCAGCCCTGCCCTGCCCTGCCCTCACCTGCCCTGCCCTCCCTTGCCCAGCCCTGCCCTGCCCTGCCCTCACCTGCCCTGCCCTGTCCTCCCTTGCCCTGCCCTGCACAGCCCTGCCCTGCCCTGCACAGCCCAGCCCTGCCCTGCCCTGCCCTGCCCAGCCCTGCCCTGCCCAGCCCAGCCCTGCACAGCCCTGCCCTGCACAGCCCTGCCCAGCCCTGCCCTCCCCTGCACAGCCCTGTCCTCCCTTGCCCTGCCCTGCACAGCCCTGCCCTGCCCTGCACAGCCCAGCCCTGCCCTGCCCTGCCCAGCCCTGCCCTCCCCTGCACAGCCCAGCCCAGCCCTGCACAGCCCTGCCCTGCACAGCCCTGCCCAGCCCTGCCCTGCCCAGCCCAGCCCAGCCCTGCCCTGCCCAGCCCTCCCCTGCCCAGCCCTGCCCTGCCCTGCCCTACCCTGCCCAGCCCTGCCCAGCCCTGCCCTGCCCTGCCCTGCCCTCCCCTGCCCAGCCCAGCCCTGCCCTGCCCAGCCCTGCCCTGCCCTACCCTACCCGGCCTGGCCCTGCCCAGCCCTGCCCAGCCCTGCCCTGCCCTGCCCTGCCCTCCCCTGCCCTGCACAGCCCAGCCCAGCCCTGCCCTGCCCTGGACAGCCCTGCCCTGCCCAGCCCAGCCCAGCCCTGCCCTGCCCTGCCCTGCCCTGCCCTGCCCAGCCCAGCCCAGCCCTGCCCTGCCCAGCCCTGCCCTGCCCTCCCCTGCCCTGCCCTGCCCAGCCCAGCCCTGCCCTGCCCAGTCCTGCACAGCCACCTCTGCTCAGCCCTGCCCAGCCCTGCACTGCCCTGCCCTGCCCAGCCCAGCCCAGCCCTGCCCAGCCCAGCCCAGCCCAGCCCTGCCCAGCCCAGCCCAGCCCTGCCCTGCCCTGCCCAGCCCAGCCCAGCCCTGCCCTGCCCTGCCCAGCCCTGCCCTGCCCTGCCCAGCCCTGCCCTGCCCAGCCCTGCCCAGCCCAGCCCAGTCCTGCACAGCCCAGTCCTGCACAGCCAGCTCTGCTCAGCCCTGCCCTGCCCTGCTCAGCCCTCCACAGCACAGCCCTGCCCTGCTCAGCCCTACCCTGCTCAGCCCTGCACAGCCCTGCCCTGCACAGCCCTGCCCTGCTCAGCCCTCCACAGCCCTGCCCTGCTCAGCCCTCCACAGCACAGCCCTGCCCTGCTCAGCCCTACCCTGCTTAGCCCTGCACAGCCCTGCCCTGCACAGCCCTGCTCAGCCCTGCACAGCCCTGCACAGCCCTGCCCTGCTCTGCCCTGCTCAGCTCTGCCCTGCACTGCCCTGCACTGCCCTGCTCAGCCCTACTCAGCCACACAATTATTATAATCATAATAAATGATCCGTGTGCATCTGATACGGCACTTCAGCACGTCCGTCCGTCCATCGTTGTGACGTCTCAAAGCACTTCGTAGAAATACACCGGAAGGTGAATTAACTGCATATCTTATGGGCACAGCACGGCCATCAATTGCGCACAGCAGCATCCCACACACAGTCGTGGATCGAGCGACCAAATATTTGGGGGCAAAGAGAGATTATTACCCCCAGAATGCGGTTCACCAATTGATTAACAACGGGGGGGGGGGGTTTCCCTACTTACTGCCGGGGAGACAGAGACGTGTGGAGTAAGGAAACTTGACTAAGGTTTCGCCCCGCTCGGGAATCGAACCCGGGTCCTCTCGCTTGCGAGGCGAACGCTCTTAACGACCAGGCGGCAGGATTCCACAAGAATGAAGGTTTTGGGTTCTAAGGGGCGGCCAACACCCTATTAAACTTGGGTCAAAAGGTGTGGTCCAACTTATCCCCTCCCTTGCCTCCTTCAAGGCCGGTCTCAAGACCTTCCTTTTCGACCACGCCTTCAGTCATCTTCCCTCCTCCATCCCCTTGCCCTCCACCGCTCACTGATCCCAATCCGCAGTTCAGGTGAAAACCCCTCATTGGAATACCCTCCGGACATGAGAGGCGCTGTGTGAATGCCATTTGTTCTTTGTTGTTGTTAAGTCTCGGAGTGAGTTCTGCACTCACTCCAGACGGCAGTATCAATGGCAAGTGATGTGGTTTTAGCTGGTTAGAATCCATCAGTACCCCAACGCACACTCTGGGGACCCCAAGCCTCGGCTCTTGCCAACCTGCACCTACTCCCCAGAAATAGGCAAGCAGGAAATGTCCCTCCAGGGAGAGTCTGCACATTCCCTTCCAAGGATCTATCTCTGAAATTTCTACGTGTAGGCGGGATGCAAGGAATTCTCGGTTTAGTTTGGATATTCTTAAGCATGGTGATGGGCTTAAGAACATGTCAGACTCCCGGCTGACCAAACAAAAAGCTCTCACGTGAACTCTCACCGCCCGAGTGCTGAAGTGCAGCTCACCTATATTTCTGCATATCATGGTTCCCCACTTCAGGCTGATCAGTGCCCATCAGTACTTTTTCACCCGCCTGATTACTTTAATTACATTGGCCTTGGGCTGTCTGCGATTCGACTCCAGGTTCACGAGCAGCAATGAATTCGCGGCACAACAGACACCACAAACCACAGCTGCAGCAACAAATTCACCTGTTCTTTCTCAGCCAATGCAACTCTTCATAATACAATGCAAAACCATACTGACATCACTTGTGTGTTTCGCCCACAAAATACAGTCACTCCACTTTACAATATTATTCTGAATTTTGAGATTCGCAATGACGTGATAAGGTGCTATATCACATGCAAGGATTATTATTTTATGGTTATTATCTTCTCATATCATTTTGTTTAGTGTTATACTAGCTACTCTGTGATACCTGCCTCGCTTTGATAGAAGTTCAGCAACACAGGTCACTTTAATTAAGACAAGACTTTATAATCAAGAAAGTCATTCTGCAAGTCATCCCAATGACTGCTTTCACTAACTAATAAATAATAATCCTTGCATTTGATATAGTCTTCAAGACGTTTCAATTGCTTCACAGAATATACTGTAAAGTGAATTGACTGTATATTTTGTGACAAATTGTGCACAGCAGTGTCTCACAAACAGTCATGGATTCAGTTACCACTTTATTTTTTTTAGGGGATTATTATCCCTGGAAACATTATCCCCCAATCGACTAACAACCAGGTTCATACTTACTGCAAGGTATACAAGGTGTGTAGAATAAGGAAACTTGCGTAATGTTTCACCCTTCCTGGGAATCGAACACAGGTCCTCTCGCTTGCGAGGCGAGTAATCTAACCACTAAGCCACAGGAATCTAGTTCATCAAAACAACTGTGTGCAGTTTTGGTCTCCTTATTTAAGGAAGGATGTACTTGCCTTGGAGGGGGTGCGGCGTAGATTTACTCGGTTAGTACCAGGGATGAAAGGGATGAGTTATGAGGATAGGCTGACCAATTTGGGCCTATATTCTCCAGAATATAGAAGAATTAGAGGGGATCTTATAGAAACCTATAAGATAATCAAAAGGCACGATAGAGTAGATAGTGGGAGATTGTTTCCCCTGGTTGGAGAAACTAAAACCAGGGGTCACAACCTTAAAATCAGATGCCAGCCCTTTCACACTGAGTTGAGGAAGAACTTCTTCACTCAAAGAGTGGTGAATGTATGGAACTCACTACCCCAAAGGGCTGTTGACGCTCAGTCCTTGAACATATTCAAGACTGAGATAGATAGATTTCTTATTGCAAAAGGTATTAAGGGATATGGGGGTAAGGCAGGGTCAGGTTATTAGCTGGAGTTAGATTAGAAGATCAGCCATGATTGAATGACGGGGCAGGCTCGAAGGGCCGAATGGCCTATTCCTGCTCCTACGTGTTATGTTATGTTAATGTTTTATAATCAAGATTATAATTTTTCAGATCAGTTTGACACTTGCTAGCAAGCATAAGCGGATCGAACATATCGAAAACAATTTTTAATAACTCACTTCTGATCTGGTCACATTTTAAATAATTCACTTCCGATCACAACAAAGGGAGTTTCTCTCCCGGTGCCCTGGCCAACAATCCCCCAAATAATATTGGTCCCTCATTTCATGGCTGCTTGTGAGACATTGCTGTATGCAATTGGGCTGTCGCATTCACCTACAAATACACAGTCGCTCCATTTCTGCCAGAAAATAATATCTCGGGATACAGTGTATAGTTTGTCAATGGCATGTCATGTCCCAAACTATACACTGTATCCCGAGATATTATTTTCTAGCAGAAATCTATCTAATTTGTTCTTGAAACAAATGACATTTTGTGCTTCCACTGTCTCCCGTGGGAGCCTGTTTCATAAGTTCACTACTCTCTCACTGAAGCAATGTTCCCACAGATTTGTTCTGAATTTACCCCCGTTCAGTTGTCCTCTGATTAAATCCTGTGAAGCGCTTTGAGACGTCCTCCCATTGTAAAAGGTGCTATATACCAAATGATTATTATTGACTCATTTTTGA